ACTAACCCAGTAAAAGAAGTCGTTTACAAGGAATTAAACATCCATCCAAACATTGTGGGGAACCTGGCAGCAGGGAGGTTTGTGGCTTGACAGTCAGTGCACATTTTGAAATGTTCACAGTGATTTTTTTGTTTGTTTTTAGTATGCTGCAACAGCAAAAGCCCGGCAGTGACAGGCAGAGATTGTTTTGCACAGAGATGCTGGGCTCTGTTGCAGGGCTTGCCCTTGCTCTCAAAACACCCAGCTTCCCAAATCCCCCAAATGCCCTGCAAGGGTATTTTCTGCATGAAGAAAAACTTTTATTTTTTTTTTCTCCAGACAAATCGCTAGGGCAGAGCCAAGGAAAGAGCAAAAAACCAAAGTGTCAAGAAGTGCTGTTGCTGGCTTGTGCTAGCGCATCTGCCTCAATGCCAAGGGACGGGACACGCGGGCTGTGCCAGGACCTCTCTTCCCCCAGCACAGAGCCTGCAGCCACACGCACACACGGGGCTGTGAGCGGTGATGTCAGGGACCAAATCAAATGAGATCAGCACAGGAAAAGCTGCGGTTGATGAAGCAAAGCGCGCTCCAGGAGAAAAGCCCTCACCCAGACACGCACGTCCGATCGCAGCAGAGGGTGCCCAGGAAGTGAGTGGCCAAAGGGATTTCACATCCATCGTCAGCTCACGCAGCGATGCAAGAGCCTGGCTCCGTGAGCTGATACCGGCCGCGCTCGCCCCAGCACACGGGCAGCCCAGCACGAGCGCCCGGGGCCACGCGTGAGTCACACCGAGCGGGCACCCACACTCCGTGGCCGCCCGAATCGCGCACGTGCCCGTGCGGAGGCACCCTGCAGCGCTCCCGCAGAGCGTTAGCTGCTCCCAAGGGCTGCTGCGGAGGGGCGGCTGCCCCTCCGTGAGCATCGCAGGACCGCACAACATCGCGTCGTGGCGCAGCAGAAGGTGTCCGGTGAGCACCCGCTGAGCAGCACTCCCAGCCTGTGCCTGCTGCCAGCCCCAGCCCCGGCCAGGAGCTGCCCCCTGTCAGGGCAGTGGGGCTGCGGGGACAGCCCTGTCCCTTTAACACCCGCAAAGCTGCTATTTACATGGAAAAAAAAAAAGGTTTCCCAGGGACAATGGAAATTGTTTGCATTTCACTATCCACTGAGGAGAGAGAAAGAGAGAGAGAGAGAAGAGACCTTCCTTCCCTCCAACAGGTTCAGGAATTTTTTCCGCTAATCAAGAAGAAAAACAAAAATTGTTTGTGCTGGGGGGGCGGGAGGGGAGGAAAAAGGGGGACTCCCTGGGGTCCCATAAACCCAATGGCCACGAGCAAAACACCGCAAGCCAGTGCTGGAAAGTCTGAGGCAGCGCTGGCCGATGTCGCGTGGCTGCAGCGCAGCTTGTGCTAGTGAGAAAGACTCCCGGCACTGCCGGCACCCGGGCCCTGCCGATCATGGCGCTCATGGCAGAGGAAGGGAGCTGGGTTTGTCAGAGCTTCCTTAGCTGAGCCCTGTTCACCTGGAGGCTGAGGCAGGACACAGCTGCTTTCCAAAGGGCTGGAGTCCCCTCTGGTCCTTTCTATTTGAGCTTGACGCATAGGGTGCTCTCCTGGCTTGGCTTCGACTGGTGCAAGCACCTTGCTAATCGATAAAGCCGTTTCCCAGTGCAGCCTCCTTCAAGTGCATTAAATGAAACAGAAAGGAGCAGCTGGACGGGATTTACAGTTTTCCTCCGTGATACGTATTTTCCCTTTTCCACGGATAGTTCCAGCGGGGAAGCTGCAACCTATTGTTATGCTTATTTATTTACTTAGGTTTTGTGGATGGTTTCAAAGCTCATGGCCAGGAAGGAGCAGCCAGATGCTGCAGTGTGGGAGAGAAACCCTGTCCCAGTTTCCCGCTCTGGATGTGCACACCAGAGCCAGGTGCCTCTCCTGCAGACATGGATCTTGGGCTCAGGGCTGACCTGGCCCATTCCCTTCTCTTCCTGCTTGAACTTAAGCCCTGCCATCAGAGGGAAAGCGGGATATGGGGCTGCATGCTCAACCCGGCGAGGTTTTCCCAAGTGACAGGCTGGCTAACTGAAGTGGTTCAGGTTAAGCAGTTTCCTTTCGTTTTGAAGACAGCACTGGGCTGAGCGGATGGATGCAGGAGAAGCCCTTTAAGCTTAGAGAAGAGAGAGGAAGAGCCAGGGAGAGGAAGAGCAGGGACTGTGCAGAGTGTGGGTCCCAGAGGAAGGACAACCTGCAGCAGGGGCTTTTTGCCAGCTGGAAAGCATCAATATTTATGGCTGTGGATTAAAAGCCTTTAGAGAATCTGTGTCCAGGAAGCAGAGACACTCAGACAGCAACCAGTGGGAACTGGCAGCTCCTGCCGTGCCCACCTCCATGCTTCACCTGCTATGTAGATACAGCCCAGGGACCAAAGGCATCTTTGCTGGAAGCACTCCTGGCACACAAAAGCAAACCATCACAAACCCGGCATGCAGCTGTCTGCAGTGCTCACTCTGGGATCTCTTACTCAGGCCACACCAGCCCAGTAGGGCAGAGCAGGCCATGGCAGCTGGATAAGGTGCACGCACAGGGATGGAGGATTTGGAGAAGCTCTCAGATATTTTCTTCTTCATTTGGCTACTACTCAAAGATAGAAACATGGATAGATAACCCTGCATGCGCAACCAGGACTAGAAGTGCCCAGATGGGATTACAGCGTTCAGAAAAGCTGGTCTACCACAAGCTCCTCACCAGTGTTTAATGGGCTGATGGGTCCCACCAGCATCCCTAGCAGAGCTTGCATTGAGACGTGGGAAGGACAGGCAGGACCTAAACCTCTACTGGGACAAATGCTCAATGATTTGGAGGTGGACAAGCAGGAGCCCGATGGCACCCGGATGTCTACGCTTGCCTATGGTTGACATCATGTAATGTGTCCTCAGGGGGATATAAGTGGTCACCACAATGTCTTAATTTCGGTGAGCAACAAGCTCTGACACTGCTCAGTTGTCAGGGCCAGACTCCCTGGGACACGAGACACCAGATAAGGGTCACGGCACAGAATTTTGACAACATCAGGCCTGCTTCGGGCACAGATTTCTGCATCTCAGGCTTTTTGTTTTCCTCATCCCCTTCTCTCACCCAAGGACCCGCCTGCCTGCCAGGAAACCTGGTTGGGGCAAGCGTTTTGCCAGCTGGCTTAGGCACGCACCAGCAATTGCATCCTGCAACTGAAAGAGGAAATCTCAGTCCCGGCTATTTCCAACCTCTATTGTTAGTTGCTCAACTTATGCATTATACAGACAAGTTGCAACACTATGCATCTGCTTTCAGACATTTAATTTTAGCATCCCAAGAAGGATTTCTGGTATCAAGAAAGCTCAGTTCTAAGGAAAGAGGAAATCTGTGATACTGGCGCTTGATTTTGAGCATAAAAGGAAGCATATCATTCAAATGATCTAACAGATTTCATCATTGGAGCTGTTATCTCAGGAAAGTCCAAAGAATCCCTGGTGGGGATTTCCCCTTTCCAGGGGCATAGGTGGCCCAGGTGCCCTCAGAAGGGTTAATGTCCCTGGAGCTTGGTGTACCAGAGCAGGTTTCTTTGGAGTTTTTCTGGGCCACGCTTTGCTAGTGAGCGCTTGACCTCGATACAATTTCTCCTATGGAATCAGGATCCTTACATTATATGTATTTATAAAGCATTAGTTAATGTTATCCAAAATCTTCCCCCCTTTTGCCCACCAGCACTCTCCTCAGCCTATAAAAGGCTGCTTGGAAGGGAGGTGAATCTAAGTCGTTAGGAACGCGGTGCCATAAACAGGAAAGCCCCTCGCGCCTGGCTCCAAGGGAAGCCACTACACAATAGTGAGCGCTGAGCTCAAAGCAAACAAATCCTCCCTGTCTGCTCCTGCACCACGTACCTTTCTGCAGCTTGGCTTAGCCCGCTTCCGTGGCGGAGCAGAGAAGCCATCTTCACTGGGAATAAAGTGCACAGCGACCGTTCCCTGCATAGGCAGGACGTGGGATGGAGAGGACCTGCCTCTCTGCACGCTGAGCTGAGCAAAGGCAGCTTCTGGAGGGCTTCCTGCAGCGCCCTCTCCCCCTGAGGGGCTCTCACACCAGAACTGTGGCCTTACAGCAGCCACCAAAATCAGAGGGGCTTCGTGGTAAGAGTCCCAACAAGCACACAGAAAAAAGCATCACATAAACCACCCCCCACCAGCTTTTCACCCTGCTGCTGCAGGTGAGGCTCACATGCCTGAGGGACATGCACAGCTGTGGGTCCCCATGTCGTGAGCTGAACCTGCACCTGGGCACAGTTTTCTACAAGGTGCTCCAGGGCCTTGAGTCCCCTCAGGAGCTTCTGCCACAGACCTGTGCATCACCTGTGCTCTGGGATGCAAGACACGATCCCAGCTGTGTCACAGCAGCACCCTCGGGAGCTGCGAAGCAGAGTCCTGCTGGGACTCCCTCGAGAGCCTCCCGCAAGCCTTCCCAGTGCTCAGGGACATTGCTGTGGTAGCTGCTTCCTAAAATGCAGAAATAAGCACCCTTTTTTTTTTGAAATCTTGCAGATATAGCTCTGCTTTCAATTCCTCAAAAATTTAGCCACTTGCATGTGACAAGAGGCATTGTCCTCTTTCCGCCTTGTCTCTTCCCTCTCCAAGCACACAAATGTGCACAACCAGTGATCAGATTTGGGGAGCCTGGTTCTTGTCCTTTATTAAAAAAAAAAAAAAAGAAAGAAAGAAAAAAAAGCTATCATGTGTGCGGGAAAAAAAAGCTATCACGTGTGCGCGTTTCATTGAGAAAGTAACAAAACCGCGGCAGACTGTGCAAGGAGAAAGACAGAAACTGGAGAATGCAGAACAGGGGGACATTTTAAAGAAAGACAGAAAGGCAATTCCTCTTTTCCCAAGCACCTTGTTGAGCAAGACTCCAAAAATCTTGAAGTGACCGTGGGACGAAACAATCATGACGTTACGCTGGCCCGGGCTCAGTGTTTGCTCTGTTTTGTTGTGTCAATGAACAAAGAAGGTAATGAAAAAAGAAGAAAAGAAGGAAAGAAGGAAGGAAGGAAAGAGCTATCCCTGCTATGATATTCCCTTGCCAAATTCTGGCTCACCTCTGAAAATGCAAAGGGGCCCTGAGTAGCTGGGCCGGCTGCAGGCCAGGGGCATCCCCGGGCTTTGCGCCTCATTCCCATGGTGAAGAGGACTTGGAGGAGGGGTTGGAGCCGCTCTCTCTGGTGTCCTCGGGAGCGGGGGCAGTGCTGTGGGCAGGAGAGGCACCAACAGGTGCAGCGTTGAGCTCTGGGGCAAGGGGATGTACCGAGCATCCTTTGCCTCTCTTGGCACGGGTGAAGAGCACAATTTGACTGTAAAATCGGGGATTATGGCTTCAAAGGACAAGTGAAGAGAAAGAGGAAGGAGTAGGAAAAACGTCTGCTGAGAGATGAACACAGCCCCACAAACAAGGGCCGCTTCTACTCCGGTTCTGCTGCTCCCCGTGGCTCCCCACCAGGAAAACCAACAAGTCTTTCTCACCCTGTGAAACTCTCAGCTGCAAGATCTGGGCATTAATATGTTATTTTGGTCATCCAGGGTGGCCGAGGGCAGGGCATGGAGACTTGGCAAGACCCAAGAGCCTTTCATCTTGCAGTGGGCTCCCCCGGCTGCAGGGCGAGCTCCATCCCGATGCACCACCGCCGGGTCTGTGTGTGCGGTGGGGCACACACCACCCTTCCTGCACCCGCTGGAAAAGGATTTCCCAAGGCACAGCCTGGAGAGCTGAAACTGAGGGACAGATGCCAGAAACAGGGCCAAGACCAGCAGCAAAAGAGCTGCTGAGGGGACCAGGCCGCCTCTGTCTAGGGGCCTGGAGGCCTAGGAGGGCACCAAAGAGGATCTAATGACAGGAAAGGGGTGCAGCAGAGCAAGCTTTTCTCCTGTCTTTGAACAGGGAGATCCAGGTCCCTGGTCCCTGAGCCCAGTCTCAGCTCTGGCACAGAGAAATCACCTGTGGCGACAGGGAGCAGCTCATTCCCCGGGGGCCATTCCAGCCCCCTGCGTCCCCACGTGCCTCCCACCGGGCACGAGGGAGCTGACGCTTGGGCACGGCCGATCCGGCCGCAGGTGGTCGAGGTGGCAGCGCGGGGGTGCACCCGCTGAGCTGTTTTGCAAGGCTCCAGGCTG